TCTCGTCACCATTTGGGCTTGCAGTTTGAGCCACAAGTTTTAGCAAGTCAGCTGAAAACTAAATATGTAGTTCGATGTAGTTCCCGTTGTCAGTTCGTTGCTCCTTATCCTTGTCGGCTTTGTCATCCTCCGGATCGGAAGCAGATGGTCTCTCCGACCTAGCCGTGCAAGTCGTCGATGTGTTCTCTGCTTCAAAACGCCAAGTTTGGCCACTCTCATGGCAGTGAATCCGCCGACCCCACACCGTGGGGTGAGGCGTGACTGTTGATTGATAGCCTTAGCCTTATAGCCTTGGCCTTAGCCTTAGCCTTAGACCTTAGCCTTAGCCTTATCCTTAGCCTTAGCCTTAGACTTAGCCTTACCTCCCCTACCCCTCCGGAGCCTTGTTGCAGTGACGAAGTCCGCCAAAATACCACGAAATGGTGACGTGGATTGTCCAAAATTATGCCACCTCAATTGATTTACATCTTGGGGCACCCTCTCCACCCGCGCGGTAAAATAAGCACGGTCTAAAATGGTCCTGGGCTCAAATCTCGGGGTGGTCGCGGCGTGATCCTCGCCAATATCCTTGATTTTTCCTAGATTTTGTCACGTTTTCTGTTGCATTTGTGGGATGTTCAAAGGCTTTTCCAGCATTTTCCTAGGAATGCTCTTGGCTTTGTCTAGATTTTGTCACGTTTTCGGCTGGATTTGTATGCTTTTCAAAGGATTTTCTAGCATTTCCTGTTGTTTTTGGGTTCCCAGATTTCCCCACAAAATTGCTAACCTATTGCTAACCCATTTACCCCCATTTGCAAACGTTTTCCGCTGGATAGTGTTATTACTGCTTGCTTGGGTGTTACAGGGACATATCGTGACTCTTAAGGTCTCCTATCTGCTGTCTGCAACCTTTTTCTGCTCTTCACTAGCTGGCGTGCTGCCAGCTCGCCGGTGGAACTGACCTGGCCGGGACAGCGCTCCTTCCGTAGTGCTTTTTGGGTTCCCATATTTTCCTACAAGAATGCTAACCCACATGGTGCCCAAACCGGGAGATGTACATATCCCACCTGCGCTTGTCGTGGATGGCCGCCGACCCCAAGGGAAAATGTAGTGGCAGGGTTGGGTCCCGGGATGGTCGCGGGCAGGAGCCTACGAGTGGAATTGGTTTTTCATAGAAGTGGGTACGTTTTCCGCTGGATTCGTGGGTCAAAGGTTGTTTTGGGTTCCCAGGTTTGCCCAGAAAATTGCTAACCCATTTTCTTCCATTGCTGTACTCATGCCTTTGATGCGCGGCGCCTACCGCTTCGATGCGTCAGCAACCGACAGCGCTTTCAACACAACTGTGGCATTTGAATGTACCAGCGCTCTGCTCCGCCACGGGACGCAGCACACTACGCGTCCTGCGTTGCCCGCCTTTGCGGCTTGGCCTGCGAGGTCGCCTCGGGGATAGATGGTGCCTGGACAGGGGGACATAGACGGGGATGCTTCGCCAGGGGAAACACACGACAACGCACAGACTGCGAAGCGGGTGCTACCGTGGCATGTGAGCAACCTATAGTGGTTTCAAAACATCCTTTCCCTCTCTCGACCCGCTTCGGATCTCCCGCGAATCCATTCTTCCAGCTCCGGTGTCGCAGATCCTCTGTTGCTGCGCCTGTGCCACAAACCAATGCCCGTCATGCTGCCCATGGCCCTTCCTCTCAGCCTTGCCACCAAGCTCTGAGAACAAATAGATTGCCCCGCAGGACGTCCTGTTCCGCCCCGGCTGCAGCACCGAGCCCTTGTGGCGAGACACGATGCTCCACGAAGCTTTGCAGAAGATCATATTGGCAGGCGGCCTGTCGACCAGAGCACCTCTTTTCCGAAGCCACGACGGGCACTTCCCGCGAGATGATCATGGACCGTGGGCGCGGCCCTGTCTTCAGCGCCGACCGCAACACTGATGGGCAGCGCCCTGTCCGTCTCTGCGGCCGCGTTCCCGGGTTGCTCTAGGGCCGCCGCAACAATCCTGTCCACACTCCTCGGGGTCTGCCCACCGGGGAGCACGAAGCTCTCGCCACAGGCCACCACAGCAAATCCCTCCATGCTCAGCCACGCAGCAGCATCATTGCTCGGGGTCGTGGCCCACGACACACATGGAGCCACCCCAAACAGCTGCCGCCTGCTCTCCAAGACCAGATCCACAGATTCCTCAGCCCACAGTTTTTTTTGCACCAACTGGTCCTCCAGGGTTCGACCGTTGGTCCAGTCCCTTCCCGCGAGCTGCCCCTGGACCATCAGCAACCATCACAACCACACTTCTCCAGCCAAAAATGCTGTCGGTAACTCCCAACTCACGCTCCGCCCACGCTAAACCCGATCCTCTGCGCTCGCATCCCCTAGCTTCACTCCATCGTCAAGCACCAGCAGCCGTCGGCTTCCGCCAGCCTGCCGAAACACTGCGCGCCGGCGTCTTCCGCCTACGACAACTACACCGAAACGCCCTCGCTGGCTGACACGACTTAGCTAACACCATGGGCAGCGCCCTTCTCCCCCAGGAAACGCATAACAAAGACACCGGCTGCCTCTCACCCGACGACTTTGGTGACGGAGGCTGTTCTCGGTTCCTGCATTTTGCTCAAAGGGTGCTCCAGGAAACCCTACCCTCCCCATATCCAGGACAACGTCCTTCTTCCTACCGTGGAACCACCCACTTCCACACTCTTCCGTCCCCCCCCCCCCCGGCCTACTGCACCACAGACATTCCGCCACGCGCGCGTGCCGCCCTCGTGTACATGGCTACGGTCTCTTCCCTCGCTGGTGCGAGAACCTGGCCACCACCTGCCCGAGCTTCCGTTTGCGCTGCTCCGTCCTAAGACCAACACGCCACATGGCGCGGACACGGGCGCCTGACAAGCATGCGAAAATCTTACCAAAGCCTTTGACGTTACAACATCTAGGACATACCACGGGCACTGGCCGGACATTGTCCAGCGCATGAAAGGCATGAGTACAACAATGGAAGAAAATGGGTTAGCAATTTTCTGGGCAAACCTGGGAACCCAAAACAACCTTTGACATCCTACAACTCCCTTCTACGAAAAAAACCCAAGATGTAAATCAATTGGGATGGCAAAATCTTGGACAATCCACGTCGCAATCTTGGCGGATTTCGTCACTGCAACAAGGGTCCGGAGGGGTAGGGGAGGTAAGGCTTAAGGCTAAAGCTAAAGGCTAGGGCTAAGGTCTAAGGCTAAAGCTAAAGGCTAGGGCTAAGGTCTAAGGCTAAAGCTAAAGGCTAGGGCTAAGGTCTAAGGCTAA